TAGTTAACAGCTACTGAGGTAAGAGCAGACCACCAGCTTGGATCCCCTGAATGGAGTGGACACAACTGTCCCCAGCATGCTGAATATTAGGAGCTGAACGGCTTTGCTGCTGATTTATTGAAGAAATGTCCTATCTGATTTTACCAATATTGTAAAGAGGCAAATGAACATAAGATTTCAGACATGGGTCAGAAAGAAAGGGAATCCCTGAATGTAGATGAGGTGGCGGGGCTGTGTTCATGCATGTACAAGATTTGTCAGCTGAGGTACATCTAGTTTAAGCAAAGGTAATAGTCTCTCAAGGGACGCAGGTGGTGCTGTGGTGTAAACCACTGAACCTTGGGCCTGCCGATCGGAAGGTTGGCGGTTCAAATCCCCGAGGTGGAGTGAGCTCCTGTTTCTCTGCCCCAGCTCCTGCCAATCTAGCAGTTCGAAAACACGTCAAAATGCAAGTAAATAAATAGGCACCGCCCCAGCAGGAAGGTAAACGGCATTTCTGTGTGCTGCTCTGGCTTTGCCAGCAGCGGCTTAGTCATGCTGGCCATATGACCCAGAAAAACTGTCTGCGGACAAACGTCGGCTCCCTCGGCCCGTAAAGCGAGATGAGCACTGCAACCCCAGAGTCATAAGAGACTGGACTTAACTGTCAGGGGTCCTTTACCTTTACCTTTACCTTTAATAGTCTCTCATGCACCATAAAGAATGAGTGGTGGAGTTACAAGCCATCTGCATGGAATCTGGTAGCTTGTATATCACATCAAAACATTTTTAAAGCCTGCCTGTCAAATTGTGCATTTCCTTGCCACTTGGGTGAGCCATAACTGCACCTTTAGATAGTGCCAAAACTTTCTTCAGAGTATCATACAAATGTAGTTTTTCAATTCACTTAAAACAGACGGACCTCATCTAATAAATTTTGGATACAAATCTAGAATTCCAACAGCTGATAAAAGCTAACAAAGTAGTCCCACCTGCTAACAAATAAAGAAAGTTGGCGGGCCATAGTTTGAAGATATCCAGTACAAAATATGTTCATCAAGAATGTTACACATATTGGGGAATCTATGCAGATCTAGTAAATAGGCTGCGCTGAAGGCTCAATCAAGGCATACAGGCTGGCAAATGAGACAAACTTTGGCTTATGAATATGGAATGGGGTTAAAATATATATTGAATGAGAGAGACCTTTGGGGAGTCAGCCAATAAGGGAGGTCCATTAACACAACAGCTTATGACTATGCAATAGAAGTTCCCCTGCTTCTCCTCTCCCCACATGCCTCCCAAATCTTTGTGGGAGTTCTCCCAATCCTTTGGATAAATTTTCAAGAAGGTTGCAGAAGGCACACAGGGAGAAGTTCCATTGCACCGTCCAAAGTTCTTCCAGTAATTGAACCAGTTTGTTGGGCACCACCCTTGGTTTTTCACTTGGTTCTAACCAGAAAGAATCAGAATAGCACCATCAGCAGTATTATAGCAGACAAAGGAACGGCTAAGGGAGCTGGGCATGTTTAGCCTGGAGAAGAGGAGGTTAAGGGGTGATATGATAGCCATGTTCAAATATATAAAAGGATGTCATATAGAGGAGGGAGAAAGGTTGTTTTCTGCTGCTCCAGAGAAGTGGACACGGAGCAATGGATCCAAACTACAAGAAAGAAGATTCCACCTAAACATTAGGAAGAACTTCCTGACAGTAAGAGCTGTTCGACAGTGGAATTTGCTGCCAAGGAGTGTGGTGAAGTCTCCTTCTTTGGAGGTCTTTAAGTAGAGGCTTGACAACCATATGTCAGGAGTGCTCTGATGGTGTTTCCTGCTTGGCAGGGGGTTGGACTCGATGGCCCTTGTGGTCTATTCCAACTCTATCATTCTATGATTCTATGAAATCATAAAGGCATCATCCATATCTTAGCTGTGTTACACTTCACCGTGAGACACAGTGATGGTTCAAGATGCCTTAGCTCTGGCAAACCCCAAGCCTCCTTGGATTTCTAAGTCTACACTACCCAACATTTATGCAACAATTTGAGCCCCAACTGCCTCTTCTCGGATCAACAAGACACCATAAGCAAATGGAACCTGTTCATAGGCTAGGAACTGTTGCAACTGTTCCCATCAATTATAGAAACACCATCAGGGTGTCTGGGTGTTTTGCTTTGTTTTAGCATGTTCAGTGGTTGGGCCAGCTCTCAGATCCAAGGATGGCTGTGCCAGAGGTTTGTTCAGCTGCTTGCACTGAGCAAGTGAGAAGGGAAGGTAGAAAAACTCATCAGTGGATCATGTCCTAATTGGAAAGGTGCTGCATTTCTCAAGAGAGAGTAGAGGGAAATTTCTTTATGAGCTCTGCCTGATAAGCAGTATAAAATGCATTAAATAATTAAATTACATAGTCTCAAGAGCAGTTTTACATGTCATTTCCTCATATATCTTCAGGGGGAACCTCCTTTGCTGTATTTTATTTTCTTTCTGTTTCTCTTTTCTTTTACAGTGGTGCCCCGCAAGACAAATGCCTCGCAAGACGGAAAACCCGCAAGACGAAAGGGTTTTCCGTTTGCGAGTTGCTTCGCAAGACGAATTTCCCTTCGCAAGAAGAAAGCCCATAGGGAAATCTCCGGGGACCTCTTTTAAATGCTGGCGGTGGGGAGCAAAGCCTTCCCCCCCCCCTCCGGCCTTCAGAAGAGGTCCAGGAAGGCCGGTGGGGGCCGAAAGGCTTTGCTCCCCACCGTCAGCATTTTAAAAGCAGTCCGGGATAGCAGGGAAGCGCTTCCCGCTATCGCAGACAACTTTTGAAGGCAGGCGGGGGGGAGCAAAGACTTTTGCCCCCCGCCCGCCTTCAGAAGAGGTCCAGGAAGGCCGGCGGGGGCCGAAAGGCTTTGCTCCCCACCGCCAGCATTTTAAAAGCAGTCCGGGATAGCAGGGAAGCGCTTCTCCGCACTCTCGGGAAGGCAGGCAGGGGGGAGCAAAGACTTTTGCCCCCCGCTGGCCTTCAGAAGAGGTCCAGGACTCTTCTGAAGGCGGCGGGGGGCAAAAGTCTTTGTCCCCCCTGCCTGCCTTCCCAGGGGCTTTTAAATCGCCCCAGACAGCGGAGAAGTCCTCCGCTGTCCCGGGGTGATTTTAAAATGCCGCCTGCCAGCATTTTAAGATCGCCCCGGACAGCGGAGAAGTCCTCCGCTGTCCCGGGGTTTTTTAAAATGCTGGGGGTGGGAAGAAAAGCCCTTGTCCCCCCCCCCCCCAGCCTTCAGAAGAGGTCGGGGGACAGAATGTCCCCGGACCTGGTCTGAAGGCGGTTTCCATAGGAACGCATTAATTGATTTTCAATGCATTCCTATGGGAAACCGTGCATCGCAAGACGAAAAACTCGCAAGAAGAAAAAACTTGCGGAATGAATTAATTTCGTCTTGCGAGGCACCACTGTATATCTGTCATATGACCATTGATTGTAACTTGGGAGTGTGCTGGGTGGGGGGGGGGAATTAACAAAAGTTTTTTTTAAAAAAAGAATAGGAATTTAAGGTCAAGCCTTAATAGTTTCCTCTTTCAACTTGTGTCTGCTTTCAAAAAGTTATTTCTTCATGACAACAAACATACAGGCCAAAAGAAAAGTTAGGAACTAATGCACCGGGTATGAATTACATCAACTATGAAATACTAGTAATCTCTGATGTAATTTTAATCAGACTCTAACTTCAATCCTAAACTTTGGGCAAATAAGCAACTAAAAATTCCAGCAACTTTCTGGATCTTTATTTTGCCAAAGCAAAGCAACTGTCGATAATAACAATCGTACCATTTCCTTATTTCTCCCATTATTATTTTCAATAAGTCAGTGTTTTATTTCAGGAAGAATTGTTTTGAATTAATTAATACCTGGGTATATTAACGATTTCATTTATATCATAAACACAAGATAGAGGCTCCTAACATATGCAGCTCAGACTGGATGCTCACATAATGCCTTAAATGTGAGTATTTGCACCTATTACTAAGCCTTCTCTCAATTTTCTGCACTACTTTTCAACATCAGCCCTCATAATCCTCTTCCCTACCTAGTTATGCAGAGTGCAGCAAGTCAGTTGGATAAGACACCTCTACTTCACATTTTTCTTCACAAAATACGTTTGAAGGGGACAGGAAAAACCTGGTTGTGATAATGAACCAATTGATCCTTCTCCTTTTTGAAGTAAAATCACAATAAAATACTGCAGCCACGCACACTGAAGATCAGGCAAGGCCTTTTATATAAGAATTTACGGAAGCAAAACTACCCTGGTGTGACCAGACCAGACAAAAGTGTTCCCTATACAATGCCAAAGCTTCAGATCTGAGTCCAGTCCTCTGATGAGATTCCAGGCAGCAGAGTAAAATTATCCAGTTAGGAGGAACATTTAAATCAGAGTTACCATAGCAAGATGCAGTATACTCATTCTAAGCATCCACTGTCTATTTCAATACATAGACCTTGTCTATGAAAAAGACCCCTGTTGAAAAAGAGCTAGGATGAGTAGATTTCACTTTTCCTTCCCTGCATATAAGCATATCAGCTTTATTCCTAGATGGCTTGGCTGGCGGTGTGCGATTATTACCAAAAACCTATTACCAATGTACAGTTTCTATCATTAAACAGCAGTGCCTTTCCGCCTATATTGAATGAGCACTCAAAATGCACACAAGATAGTTAAACTGCTGGTTAACTATGGCGGGATAGATGCATCTCTGCATGTTTGTGTGTGTGCGTGTGTGAATGTCTGTCATAGGAGCAGAGAAGGGAGGAAATTCCAGCAGTCTGTGCTGCCCCCTAGCCAAGACCATACCACTGAATTCACCACCAGTGTGTGCTCAAAAGACTTGCACTAAATGCCCCCTTTGCATCCCGATTCAGAATGAAATTTCAGTTAGCAGAAAGGACACAGAGGCTTGATCAAGTCAGGATAACAACCCAGCTACCAAAGGAAACAGACTCCCAGCATGCATCAAACCCAAACAGTCGCCACATCAGATGTACTTACGATAAAAGACGTATTCCGTGTAGCTGGACCAAACTTTGTCATCGGTGTATTGATTGACAAAAGAAGCCGTGACTGAAGAATTGCAGGCCACCATGTGGAATCCACATTCTGACAACATATCAAAAGCCCTTTCCAGGTGCCTGAACTTCAGGTAGAACCTGGAGGTGTATCTGTCGGGAGCCCGGTCCGGGTCCCTGCTCTCATTCAAACTTTCTCCAAAAACTTCTTTGACTAGAGCAATCCTGCCGCAAACCAAAATCCGCGGGACCCTCCTGAACTTCGCATCTGCTTGGGTCTCCCGACCCATGGTGCACGACCCCCGGTAGCCAATGGTAATGAAGCCCCACTTTCGATCCGAGGTCATGAGTGACGACGGGGCACATATTCTCGTGTCACTGCTTTGGGAAACCTCCTCGTAATCACTATGGCAATAATCGTCGGGGCTCTGCTTGATCTCGTCCGGACTCAGAATTTTGACCAAGTCTGGCAGCTGAAAGTACTCGGCTTCCCTTTTGAGCCTCCCTCTTTCTGGAAAATGGTCAGGCAGGACCACTTGCTTGTCCCTGAGATAGTCCAAAATGTAGCGGAACAGGAAGCCATCTCTGTCGATGAATATCCTTCCCTTGGAATCTTTTGCAAGATCGTTGGCCGACTCTCTCTTGGAGGTGAACATTTTCCAAAGCAGGGTGTGGGGAATGCCTGTTAAAGTTGAGAGGCGAGTGAAATAAACCTGGCCGCCCACATTCAGCTCTATCACCTCTGGGTAGGATTGTGCAGCTGTTGCTTGCTCTCTGGGAGGGAGGTAAGTCCTGCAGTTTCCACTCAAGGCCATGATATTGTTAAACAAGCCAACCACAAGCTGTGGGGGAACTCGCACTCACATCCAAGGTTTCAAGAAGGCTCCTTATGCCCACTCCCCCAGTGGGGTCTCCTAGCATTTAAGGAGACTGGGATGGGTGGGTGGGTGGGTGGGTGGGGAACAGGAAACAGAAGTGAGGTTACAGGATTTATTTCCCAATTGTCCAGAAATGGATGATCACAAAAACTGGCAAGGTGACTTGAACCTTACAAAAACAAAGAAATACGAGAATTGAAGAGGGTTCCCTTCACACAAGACAATCACATAACCAGATCTTCCATCAAAGCCCCAAACAGTAGGATCAAGCCACGTTTCCTTATCATTCACAAGCCTGTTGAATAAAAAGAAAATGAGAAAGAATTATTCCTCTATGCATGGGGGAAAAACCCACACTATTTTAAAAGAGCAAAAAGCAGTTGAGTTTTGAACGCTCAGCATACAACCTATTTAAGGGAACATTTACCTTGCTCTATCATTTTTGTTTAGGTTAAAGAGAGGTTGAAGGAGGTTTAAAAAACACATTCCAGGTTTGCACAAGCATCTCATTCAGATTATGCAAATGAGGGGATAGAAGCGTTGAGCCTTACCTTGGTTACACAAATGCACAGTTCCTGCGAAGGGAAGCAACATTTCCTAAGCAACCCCCCAAAAAAAATCAGCACTGAGGGTTGAATCTGGTATAGAAGCAAATCCAAAAGCAGGGAAGGGACTGGGGTTTGCGGGGAAGAGAGCAGCTCAGTTGGCAATATCCAGGCAGAACTTAACTGTTAAAACCCTTGCACAGGAAAGTTAACCAGGCTGGGCATCGGAGAGAAACGAAGCTGTGCAACAATAGCTGAGACCAAGAGAGAGAGAGGCAAAAGCAGCATAAATCCCAGGTCAGGACTCTTTAGGACAGGAGAGAATTTCAGGAGGAGGACCTTGCTTCAGATGACTTGCAGAAAGCCCAGATAATGTGAAGAGCAGTGAAAGGCAGTTTCAGTGGCATCCCACAGTGGTACCCTCTCCATCAGGAAGGGCAGAGATCCTCCCATGTTCCCAGCCAGGTTGAGAGAGCACAAGCCTGCAGCAGTTTGAAGTGGAGTGGAGCGGGGGTGGGTGCGAGGGAAAGGATGCCCAGGGAAGCTGCTTGCTCTCTGCTTTCACTACCCAAGCTGCTGCCTCTGGTTGCTGGGCTGGGTGGTTCCACAGTTCCCAGTGCAGTTCGGATGCTGTTGTTTCAGCAGTGCAGGGAAGAAACCATCCAGGGAAATGACTATTACATCATCTTAAAGGAATATGGCTTTGAGAAAGCCGAGCAACCTGGAGGGGGTGGGACTCGCGCGCTAGTTCGTTTCCCCTCTTCTTCATTTTTTAACGAGTTGCAGGAGGAGAAGCACAACGTGACGCTGCCACAAGCAGCTCCCCTGAAGCAGCAGAGAAGCTCCAGGAAAGCTTATGCTGCTTCATCCACTGAGTGAAAAGGACCAGTTCCACATTTTGTCCCTTGCAGAGCTCTGAATTTGAGAGTATTTAAGTTCTCTCTCGTACTAAACGCAGCTCTCTCTCTCTCTCTCTCTCTCTCTCTCTCTCTCTCTGTGTGTGTGTGTCTCACACACACACGTTCCTGTTGCACATTTTTCTGCCTTGATAAACTTGTGTCGCTCTGTGGTGCGATGCAAAATGAAACCTTATGGTTTGATTCTGCTCCCCCGAAGACACACAGTACAAATTAAATGACACAAATATGCAAATCGAAGCTTTGATTTCCCCACACACATACACAGGGAAATGTCGCCCGTTCTGCAACAAATTAACTCATCAGGATCTGTCAAGCAGAGCAACAAAAATCAGGGGGTGGAATGGAAAGCAAACAGAAAGAGGCATCGTGCAGTAGTAATAATGGTCTCGGAAAGTTAGGGAAAGAGTCAAATGATAAAGCACCGTAACCAAGTTTCATTGTGAAGTCCGTAGAGTCCTAAAATGTGCTTTTAAAAGCAGTAGCGCCTGCACCAACTTAAGTGCAGAGAATCCAGCAATTCAACACAGATATTCAGGATTTTATATTCTGCACTTTTCAAGGATGAAGTCGTTGCTAATTCTGTTACTGCTGATGATGTTACAAGGATTGGATTAAGCTGCCAGGTAATTTGCTTAAAGGCTTTGGCATTTTCTGAACAAGGTCTATAAGCAGCTTCCAAAAACTTTATTACACAGTGTGTATTTGACATGTGTTAGCTAAACATTTGTTGTAAAGGGGGGGGGGGAATCATTCAAATCACACACTGGCTCAAAGTGTTTGTATGGGCTCCAGAAAACACAGCAACAAACATTATTGATGACGATAATTCATTAATTTTCTATCCCACCTTTTTGCCCAAAGGAAACCAGGGTGGTAAACAACACCAAAGTGGTAAAACAATGCATTTATAAATAAGATGAGACACATTTAAAACATGTTAAAACAATTTCAAACATCTAAAAACATGTACAAAAGTCACATGCTCTCACGGATAATAGTTTCAAGGCTGCCAGGAACAGTTTCTTTCACCTATCAAACACTCAGGTAAACAGGAATGTTTTTAAGTTCTCCTGAAGCTCATAATGAGCAAGACAGACACACCTTCCTAGGGAGGTTATTCCAGAAAGAGGAAAGCATCACCCAAAAGGCCATGTGATGGGTCAGTGCCAACCAGGTAGCATTCACTGGGTGTTCTGCTACAATATATTTGGGTGCTTCAGCCTGGTTTATAGGGCTGAGATTTCAAACCTTTACAATCTTGACCAGGGACTTCAAAAGCATAGATCTCTATCCTAGCAAAACTGATAACCATATGGCTAAGAACAATCAGCAAATTCTGGAAATTCAACACACATGTGTGCGCGCGCACACACACACACACACACACACTTTTAGTTGCATTTAACTTCAGTCTTGCTTTGGCCATAACATATTTATCTGCTGTTGCCTCTGTAATAATTTTGCTCCAGCAAAATAAAATAAAACCTTCTGCTGGTTTTATTTTGCATGTTTTCAGCACCACCTCATGGCCAAATGAGATGATGGCAGACTTTTTAAGAACATACCTTCTAATATGTAACCTAAATTTGCTGGTCTGTGATTCAATCCCACCAAAAAATAGCAGCAGTCTAGAAGCAACCACTGTCTTCTGTGGTCATCTAGGATGTGTTGGGCTCAAGCCAAAAAAAGAGCACGAGCCAGAGATAACAGTCCTGTGCAAAAGAAAATATCAGCGACATAGATTGAGAAAGCTTACCATGACTGAGCTTGCTTCACTTTGACCTAAATCTGATTCCCTAGAAACTCCAGGTTAAATCCATCCCAGTTCATAAGTCATTACACCTTGGCTTGTATCCAGAGCTGTGCTTCTGCTGTCAGAAAGCCTCTTTAGCTTGTGGAAAGGCTGATTCTGATCTAAAGTAAGAGTGCTGTGTGAGAGAAAAATGACTCCAAGTCTAATAATAATAATAATAATAATAATAATAATAATAATAATAATATTTATACCCCACCCTCCCCAGCCAGAATCAGGGCAGCTAACATCAAAGTATAGGATACATTAAAAACATAAATCAAACAATTGATTAAAATACAGCTTAAAATCAAATTTGCAGCAGAATAAAATCAGATGGCAACCCACGGATTATAACTGTAGGGGTTGGGGTCACTGAGTGCTCACCAGGCCCAACTGTTTGTGCTGGTCTTATATGAGCCAGTGGAAAGAGTTAGGGAGGCCACTTACATACAGGGTCTTATAAAAAAAGTAGTAGTTACAGTACCAATAGTAGTAGCAGCAGTAGTAGTAATAATAATAATAATTTTATTATACCCCACCAATCTGCTCAGCCACTGTGGCTGGCTTCCAACAAAATATAAAGGTACAAAACATCAAACATTAAAAGCTTCTCGAAACAGGGCTGCCTTAATTGTTCAACACTGACATCTGATGGGAGGGTGTTCCAACAGGACAGGCTCCAGAGGGTTGGGGGAAACCCTAGATTTGGAGGGCGTGTGTGGAGGGAACCTTTCCACTGACAAGATGCATTTGTTGGATACCACCCATTGTAACCAGTGCTACAGTTCTAACAATAACCTACTTCTGAGAAGCCCAATTGAGACCAACTGGACTTACTTCAAAGTATTCATGCACAGGGCTATACAAAATCAATCTAATTTTTACACGTGATTAGGGATGTGGGTGGCACAGTGGTCTAAACCACTGAGCCTTGGGCTTGCTGATCGGAAGGTCGGCGGTTCGAATCCCCAGGATGGGGTGAGCTTCCGTTGCTCGGTCCCTGCTCCTGCCAACCTAGCAGTTGGAAAGCACGTCAAAAGTGCAAGTAGATAAATAGGTACCACTCCAGTGGGAAGGTAAACGGTTTCGCTAGAAGCGGCTTAGTCGTGCTGGCCACATGACCCGGAAAAACTGTCTGTGGACAAATGTCGGCTCCCTCAGCCAGTAAAGTGAGATGAGTGCTGCAACTGCAGAGTCGTTTGCAACTGGACTTAACTGTCAGGCGTCCTTTACCTTTTCTGGTCTTTTAAAATGTCCAGTAAGTGACACAGAACAACAGTGTCCTCCCCAAAAAAAGTGGCTAGAGAGTTTATATGCATGGTGTTTGCATGCATAAGAATGGCTCAGCTTTTTTGCATAGTTTGGCTACGTAACTATCAGCGCTAGACATTTGAATGTAGTGTGTGTTCATAAGACTGAAACATAATTTATGCAAAGGCATGATTACTTGAAATTATTTATGCAGAGTTGTGCTTGCAGTTTACAGAGGCTAGCCCCTTTATTAAATTTAAATGAAACATCACAAGTAGTATAGCATTGTATTTTTAGGGGGAGGAAGCAGGGGTGCGTTCCTTATTAACTTCAACAGGCTTTTTAAAAGACCAAAGCAGCTGCTAGGATGGAAGGAGATTGCGGTGTGACCTGTGGCACTGAGTCAGAGGGGGTTAATCCTTCCCTGTGTCGTACCATTTTACCAGCTAATATCTGGCCCACTTGGAGCAACAGCAGCACAAGGAGGGGATGGTGAAAATCAGGTTGGATTAATGTTGGATTCCTCTGTTGCATATCATTAAAACTCGCCTTTGCACTAGCGAACAGAGAATATAACCCATAACAAAGAAAACACGTTAGATAAACAGACAGGCATTTCTACCTTGCCCATCATCATTTCTTAATCCCAGCAGTTATGAGAGAGGAATAATGTCCATTAAGAATAACAACAAATTAAAAACAATTTAAAGGGTAAACAATTAAGTTCAAACCAAAAAAACAATAGCAGAAGCCAATCTACAACTCATATCTGTTCCCCACAAAAAGTCTAAGGGAATGGATTTTTTTTAACTGGCGCCCGAAGATGAAGGATGGCAGTGGCGTAGCGTGGGTTGTCAGCACCCGGGGCAAGGCAAGTAATTTGCGCCCCCTAACCCATGGATTTGCGCCCCCTAACCCGTGGATTTGCGCCCCCTAACCTGTGGATTTGCCCTAACCCCAGATGTTGCGCCCGGTGCGGCCGGCCCCCCCTGCACCACGCTACGCCACTGAAGGATGGTGTCAGTTGTATCTCAGTTGAAGGGAGTTCTGGAGCTGAGGTGCCACCGTTGAGAAGGCCCAATGCCAGGTGGGCTTGTCTCATTTGTGGGACCACAAGTCGGTGTTCTCCACTGCTTAAGGCAGTGATGGCCAAACTTAGGTCTCCAGCTGTTTTTGGACTACAACTCCCATCATCCTAGCTAACAGGACCAGTGGTCAAGGATGATGGGAACTGTAGTCCCAAAAAGCTGGAGACCCAAATTTGGCAACACTGGCTTAGGGTGCCGACTAAATGATTTGAACATTTGAAACATTGATTTCCTTCCCAAAATATTGAAAGCCAGCAGAACCCAAACTTACTCTAGTTGGTACCATTTCTACAGGCCATAGCTTATCTCCAAAGGCCACAGAGAAAACTATTTCAAGGCCCATTTAAATTTAGTGAGGAGTGGGTCTCTACCCCTTTTCAGTCTCCCTTCTGCTTCTCCCTCCTTTCTGTCCCCCCCACCCCGGTTAATATTATAAATTGGCAGACTGGATTTGTTCTTTTTAGCTCAACTAATATTGATGCAATTTGTCAAATAATATTTATTTTTTATAGTATAACTTATTATTGGCCATCATATTTCATAAAGTTCAATAAAATCATTTTAAAACAAAACCCCAGCTCACTTCTGACAATAATTAATTGCAAGTAAGGCAGAGAAACAAAGAAACGAAAAGAATACTCTGGGGAAATGTTCTCAGAACATGCATCATGACCCTGAGGTTGAGGATGAGTACTAGGAGTTAGAGGGAGCAGCCCCAGCCCCAAAAACACTTCCCTGGTGCCAGTGGCCCCTCTTGCCCAAGGATGCTGCATTGCTGTTCTCTGAATCAGAGAACCCCATTGCAGAAAGCCTAGTGAAACCAGAGTCTCCCTGCTACCCCAGTGGAGTAAAAGACTGCTAGGCCCTTTTA